CGGACGACGGATTATGGCCAAAATTTTATTCTCGAACCAAAAAAATCTTCTTTCTTTTTTACAAATGTGAAGCTCACATAGCCCACTTCATCATGCTTATACCAATTTTAGTACAGTTTCATTTTTATATTTTTTTTACATATCATTATACAGGGGTTAGCCATTTAACAAAAATATCACCCATGGCCACAACCCTCTACTGTACACTGCTACCTTACCGTTATCAAACTAAGCATGTGCTTTCTCAAATCATATGTGTTTCACACGCGTAACACTCTTCAGACCTCAATCCGAGTTGCGCTAAAACGCTCAAACCTAGTTCACGAACACTTCAACTTCAACAGGATACTCTAAAACGTTCAATATACTGAACATTATTTAGAGGCGCCAGAGATCGGTTAAAAACAAGTATTTTTATTTTTTATTTTTTAGAACACCAGAGATTAAACATTTTGTTTTCAGCAATTATTTAAAGTATGGATTATTATTTAGAGAAGAGTATCAGAAGACTTTATGTAACCCAGAGGTGAGTGTCAGAGATTCTACTTTCTATTTACAATAGCGAAACTATATAGCAGAAGCATGCAAGACTGAATTATGCGCATGCACCCCGAATGGAAGTTGGTCCGTCATTTCGTTCTCTTGACAGAATTAGTAAGCCACTCTTGGCGAGAGCTTTACTTGAGTGTGCTTTAAGAAAGCATATAGTAGCATTTCCTATAATGACTCCAGTTGTGCAACACTGCCTACTGTAATGAACAGGTGAACATTTTGAAATTTAGGGGTGCTAATTAATTGGCTGTCAAAATCGTTAATTCTAAGAAAATAAAAAAAACAAAGGTTACTGAAGGGGACAAACAACACAAGTTATGTACACCGCATGCCATTCACAAAATGTGTACAACTACAAACTATGCATTTGACTTTTAATATTTAAAATATGAATATCAAACAATTTTTTCAAGAATCAAAATTGATTAATTTTAAAAGATTCATCTACCAACCAATGAGGGTTTAAACACACGGAAAATAAATCAAATAAGGATACGGAACAAGACAGATGTTGCCTCCCACCAGATGGCGCAGGAGAAGCTCTCTGGATCCGGTAGTCTCCATGTCCAGGACTTCACATTCACAGCCATACACCTCCCTCGCCAAGGCTCCCATGTCAAAGGCTAGAATATTGGTCAAAAACACAACATATGGACACTTCTTATCATCAATTTATTTGTTTTTAGATGATGTTTTGAAGGAACTCATCTGACAAGTTCCAATAAACTTAACACAATGTATGTGATAGTATAGATAGCAAATTGATGTTTTTATTTTCATCTCAAAACAGAATTTTTAACAATTCACCCGTCTTCCATGACATGATATCATTACCTGCTATCTTATTCACCAAAAATGATCTTACCAGAGAACATCTCGCCACGGTTTGTATATCCTCTGCTTTTACTTGTTGCAAGAATATCCTCAAATGAAACATCAGTTCTCTCCATCAAATCTTTTGCCATCGCTAAAGCCACAAGTCCACAGCTACAAGGAACAGATCAAACACATGTAGCCGGGCATAAAGTAAACAAACAACAAATACTTAAATGCCTAAAGCTGCAAAGCAGAATACGATAATTTCTACAAACTATGATAAGCAGTTTGAAAATCTAGAAACAAGAGGTCCATTGGATCTGTATCGCTCACCTGGTTTTATATTTAAGTCATTACAACTGAATGCATTAGCACATCTTTATATGAAATTTACTCAAAAACCAGACAAGATCTATGTTTTAACCCGACTGGGACCACAATATCTGACTTTCAACTAATCAGGGGCCTCCATTAAGTTGTCATGTTAACAGATTTTGAAATAAGTAACATGTTATATTACAGGGTGTAATTAGACAATACTTTAATTTTCATTCAACTATAAGCTTTTCTAAACCTAGAAACCAATTTTTAACAATTTATGAAATCTACACCATAGAATATGACAATCTAACTGTACCATTTCTTAGGACCGCAGTGGTCAAATCAACCTCATTCAATAATGTTTTTGACCAAATTTTGTACAATCCACTCAGGCAATTAGGGGGCATTAGCGTCTTAAAGCAAAATATTAGATAATTTTCCTGTTTGGGGCCCAGTCTTCCTAGCCCCAGGTGTCAAACCAACCTCATTTATTTAGGAATGATTGCCCTCCCCCAATGAAGTTTCAGAGCAAATTTGGTTGAAATCTTCTCTGGCGTTTAGGAGGAGATGCCTTATAAAGCAAATTTAGCTAAGTCCCCTTTCAGAGCCCCGCTCCCATGGCCTCAGGGGTCGAACCAACCTCATTTATTTAAGAAGTGATTGCCCTCCCCTAGTGATGCTTCAGACTAAATTAGGTTGAAATTCTCACTTGTGTTTAGGAGCAGATGCGTTATAAAGCAAATTTAGCTAAGTTCCCCTTCAGGGCCCCACCCCCATGGCCACAGGGGTCGAACCAACCTCATTTATTTAAGAAATGATGATTGCCCATCCCTACTGATGCTTCAGACTAAATTTGGTTGAAATCCTCACTGGTGTTTAGGAGGAGATAGGTTTTAAAGAAAAAGTTGGCGACGGAGGACGACGGAGGCTGCGCCACGGCATAAGCTCACTGCAGTCCTTCAGACCAGGTGAGCTAAAAATATATATGCTTTTTTACTGCATGAAAAGAGAAATGTGGATTGGCATCTTCTAACATCCTCAGTAATCATTTAAATAAGCTTTTGTTGTAATGAGGGTTTTCACGAAAAAACAAAGGCATTTGGGAAAAAATTGGAGACATGCCTAGCACCATACATACAAGTTGGTGTATCACCTAATAAAAGTTTTTGACACTTTTGAGTCTTTGACTCTATTCAAATGTACACATCTCGAGTGGATGAATATGTTCAACCCTATTACACCAGCGTTTTGTGTACTGAATACCGACATACTCAACTTTTCTTGATCAGATGCATGTAATAAAACTTTTTCTTGAGAAACAGTAAAAATAAATCTTTTCTGAATCGATCCCCCTTAGAGAATTTGTGGTATTCACGTCTACTGATTTTAACATTGATAATGTTATTGTTTTAAATACCAATAGTGGTTAATAAGCTTCCCAGTTATAAATCTATTGCCATATAATACTTACCAAGGTCCCTCCTGCATGAGGGGAACCACCTGATTATGGTGCAGACACACAAGGGTTAGGCTGTTCTCGGCACTCGTTCCCTCCTCTCTGCAAATTACAATCATCATCTGGTCTGAATGTTACATTTACTGAAATGATCTTCTTGCGCCAAGAGGTAAAGCAGAGTTTGCCATGAAAGTTTAAATGATTGCACTCATTATTAGACCCAATTTTTAATGTTTTTCAATGATATTTCTTAAGTTTCCATCTATAAATAGCATTACCCAAATTAACTCAAATTCATATTTAGCACATTTTTCTTTAAAATGTGTATATATAACAAAATTTAAAAAATTCCTTTACAGAAGGTCATTTTTTTAAAATGACAGCATATATATTCAAATGAATACAAACTTTAACCAAGTTGGCCCCTGAACTATGAAAATATGGTTCAGCACACTGCTTCACACTCCATACAAATGCCTCAACCTGATCATAGTCTTACACTGTCTCAACAACTTCAACCAGAAGTTTTCTCAAAAACTTTAACCTGAAGTTTTCTCAAAAACTTTAACCAAGCCCTATAAAGCTGTTTTTGGACCCTAAAATAAGAAAATATGGTTCAACACATTGCTTACACTTTACATAAACTTTACAAAAATGCCTAAACCTTGAAATTGTCAACAGCCTATTAGGTGGGGTGAAATAACATTGCAAAAAAAATTTACTCAAAAACTTAAACCTGAAGTGTATGTAGGATGCAGACGCCAATGTGTCTACATTAACTCTCCTATTCTTCGCATAGACAATGTAAAAAAACTTACATGATCTTGGTTAGTTTCCTGTGGAGATTATCCTGTTCCACATCAGCTGCCACAGCCTGTGGATGAGTGGGTGTGTCTGTCACTGCCTTCTGGGGTGGTATTCTAGGTGGTGGAGGAGGGGGAGGCGGTGCTGGAAGTCTCATAGCCTTGTTAAAACTTTCACAATATGCACTTTGACAAGGAAATGACGAAGAAATAGAAGAAACAATAGAATTAGAATCTGAACAACTAGAACTGAATGCCATTTCACTGTTCTCTGCCTGATGGTCTCTATTCTGCTCAAATCCCTGTTCCATATCAACTTGATTTCTGTCTGTCCTTAGACCATTTTTCTCATCAGATAGAATCCAGGAGTTTGCCATAGACAAACTGGATGGCTCACAGAGAAAAGACACTTCTTTCCCATCTGGTGTGCTTGTTACACCAGATTCGATTTCATTCATGTAATATGGAACATCTACATCGTCCAGAAGTCCCGCCAGTAATTCCGCTACTACCTTTGTTGACTCTGCAGTCTGTAGCTTTGTTGGACGGGATACATGCTGGTTCAATGTAGATCTAACATATTTCTTATTCCCATGAAAAGCATTTGGGTTATCAACTTCAACATATTCAGAGGCATCCATGGTGTTTTTCATTGGAAAACCTTGACTGCTATCATCGTACATCAAATCTGAATCCTCCTGGAAGAAAACGTCCAACAAAGCCGAGTCCGTTTCAGAGCAGTAATTTTTGTTCAAGACTTGCTGTCCAAAGGTGGGAGCAGAATCAGAAGAACTTGCAGGAAAAATTTGTGGATTGTCGTAGAAGCTGTCAAAATAATTAGGGCCAATATCATCTACAGTCGGACAAAATGGTTGTTGGAAAGTGCTGTCTTGTTTAGTACTTGCAGAAAACAACGATTCATCTGGCTTCTTTTGAGCTGGAAAGATAAGGTCATTTTGGTCGCGTTGAAAATTTTCTGCAACTTTTCTAAGTGCTCTCTGCGGGTATGCAATATCTAAAGTGTCCATATCCTGAATACCAGAACTGTGTGGCGGAAAGGGGGTTAGATTGTCAACAGAGTCGGCAAAAGACTGGTCGTCACAAGCGTGCATGTGAAATATGGCATCAGCTGCCGTGGGAAAGTGTGTGGTGTCAAAACCTGGCGATTTCGTAAACATGGACTTGTAAGGTTGGCTTTGACTTGCATCCGTAATATGTGTAGTATGATCATGAATCGGAAAGCCTGATGTCAGGTTACATTCAGCTCCTTGGCCAGGGCTCCTGATGGTCGAATGTTCCGACATTGCAATACTAACTGGCTTTTTACATGTATGAGTTGCGGCTGTGGTGGTTGAGTTTATTGTGTTTGCCTCATCATGAACAGAAGACAAAACTGTTCTGTTGTCCATCTCTGGCATGCCTGCAATGTTGGAGTATTTGTAGAGAAGAGAAGAAGGAGAAAGGCCATAGTTTGGACTTGAATCACGTCGTCCGATAGGAATGGAAAATGGACTGGTTACTGATGTGGATTCATCTAAATCAAGCTGATCAAATGATAAATTTGTGTAAAAATTTGCTGAATCTAAAGCTGAAAACAGGGGAGGTGCAGATTCTAGAAAATGATCAGGTATACGAGCGCTGTTCTGGTGTGTGGCTTGTCTCCATTCTTGGCTGATGGGTTCATTACTACTATCCCTGGAGGGGGTGCCATCACCACTCCAAGGGGTTACTTCAGAACTGTAGCCAGGATGGAAAGACAAAGGTGTGGATGTAGGACCTGATCCATGTCTGAGATAGTCAGCAGAAGACTTACCCTCTGGCATGAAGCATAGAGCTTCGCTGTGCTCTAATAGGCAACTGAAAATGAAAAAAATAATGTAATTAATATTGATATGTACCAACAAAAGGGCTTTCATAATACAATAACACAATGTATATTTAACAGAACTATACAAAGGCAAAGTGTTACAAGACAATCCATAGTTCTCAACCAGTAATGATAACCAAACTGTACACATATTGATACAAGACACTTTGTAAAAGCTTGAATTGCTGATACACAAAAGAACATTAACAATATCTCTCTTATGACTGAATATTTTGCTGGGAGCAAGTTATATTTATGATAGCCATAACTTTTTCAATGGATTGGGCCATAGATAAATTACACTGACCTTTATAATTATATGCCACAGACGAACCATTTCAATTATTGGGGTTAGAGGTATACAGTCTGCACTGACCTACTTTTCAAATTGATCATCTTTTATTCAAGATATATCACCTGCATATCACATTTGTTCTGAATGTGAAATAGTGTCACTTGTATATATATGTCATAAGCAAGCTGTTTCATTGATTGGAATCATAGGTCAAAATAAAGGTCACTGCGACCTATGTTTGGTACTTTACACATTCCAGGATACCTGCAAACGCCAAACTTGCTAGCTCTAGGTGAAAGAGTGTAGGAGATGTGTTCTGGATAAATTTTCAGAGCTACATTTGCAGATGTCAGGGGTCAAAATATAGGTAACTGTGACCTATTTTGGGTATGTGAAACCCTTCCGTCCCAAGAGGTACCAACTGCATACCAAATATCATACCTCCAAGTGAAAGAGTATAGGAGATATATATGCCTCAGACAACAGATGACTTAACATGAACAAATGAGGCAATTACGACGATTGGAGTAGGGGTGTTCCAAGTTCCTGAACATGGTTCAGTTTTAATAGGTACCAGGGTCTGAAAAACCTGTAAAAATAGGTAACTGTCATATATTTTGCTGGCATTTTTAGTGAATGTTGAATATTAATTACCTATCATGTCAACTGATCTCAAATAAAATAGAGGAAACTTTTTCCCAGTAGACATTAATGTCTGAATGACATTTTTTGATTAGTCTACATCATGTAAACCAATTGCAAGTCCTCTAAATACACACATTGGCATGAAGTAGAGGGTTGGGTAAGAAGGGATTGTGGGGTTGAACACAATATAAGTTATAAAAGGTAATTATATAACCAGGTGGAAGGTGAGACGGGTCGGGTTGACCAATATTGTGGAAGTTAATATAATCAGGTGGAGGGTGGAACAGGTCAGATAGACCAGTATTGTGGGAGGTTATCACAGATGGAAAGTTGGACGGGCCGGGTCTACCAGTATTGTGGGAGGTAATCACAGGTCGAGAGTGTGACAGGTCAGGTTGACTGCAGTATTGTGGGCGATAACCAGTGGAGAGTGGGACAGGTCAAGTTGACCAGCATTCTGGAAAGTAATCAGGTGGAGGGTGGGACGGGTCAGGTTGACCAGTATATTGTGGTAGGTCATCACAGGTGGAGGGTGGGACGGGTCAGGTTGACCAGTATTGTTGGAGATAATCACATGTAGAGAGTGGGACGGGTCAGATTGACGAGTATTGTGGGAGGTAATCAGGTGGAGAAAGGGACGGGACGGGTCAGGTTGACCAATATTATGGGAGATATATATAATCACAGGTGGAGAGTGGGGCGGGTCAGATTGAAGTGTTGAGGGCTGTAACCGATTGGGAGTGGGACATGTCAGGCTGACCAGTGTTTTAGGTGATAACCACGTGGAGAATGAGGAGGGTAGGGTTGAACACGGACCGTAGTGTTGCTTTCAGGTGATGAATGGGGCGGTTAGGCTGCGGTAGGGGTAAACCACGAAAAGGAGCGAAAAGGAGTTGTAATNGCCCGTTAGGCTGGACTGTTTACATCCTTTGATCCGAGCGAGTACTGGCCTGCGGAAAGACCACGGCGTTTATGTATACGACAGCAATAAACACAAAGGCCCGTTCTTAAAATCCAGGAAATTTTGATATACAGTTATACTGTTAATATACTGTACTGTTCTGTAGTAACCTAGTTCGACTTGCAACCCAACCGCCTCCCCCCTCCCTTTCCAGAAACTGCGGTCTCCATTCAAAGATGAAATGACGTATTATTTTCATGCAATAACATCCATAATTACTTACCATATATGTCTGTTGCATGTGAAGTACACAAATAGACTTTATATGACCGATTTTTCACTCCGAAACGCGGAGATGCTGGGGACAAGAGTAGTAGTCCTACTCTCGTCTAGCACTTTCTGACAGCTCTGACGGGTCACGTGACCCAATAACAGGAGCAAGTACTTCCGGTAAAATGACAACGTGGCGGGAAATATTCATCTTTCTCCCAAAGAGGAACACGATGAGGTCTCAGTTGCGTTAGATGCGCCCGGGAGTAAGGGGTACGAGCTCCACCACAATGGGGCGAGATTCGAGACTGAAATAGAGATTGAAGACTTATTATGGAAGCCAGCCTTTGCTTCGAAATATGATACATGATAAAAGATGAAAAGCAAAAAGATGATTTGGCGTCTAAAAAGAATAAACCAGTATGGAACGCCAAATTTAACATAATATTATATTCAAATAATTGCACCTTTCTAATCACCTAAATGAAGATAGGTACAATCCAATTGAAGACAGGGTCCATTCAATTGAAGATAGGTTCAATCATCAAAGAAATTGATGGCCGTTCAGATGCGACACATTTTGGGCTATCCTGTACCGTTACATTGTTATCTAAGTCTGTGATTGAACCTATAGGTACAAATAATTGTACCTATCTTTAATTATTTGAAGATAGGTACTAGGTACAATTTTTGGGGGCGATGTTGTCATGTTTTGTATTTTGGTGTCATCCTGTTAGGTATGTAGTCATACCTTTGGGAGAATTTAGTATTTACGTACGGTTTTCATACAATTTTGTAATTTTTAGATGTTTCAGTTATCAAATGATTATTCGACAGCGACGCCTAACAAAACGACGACGGATATATTACCATGTAAGCAGTGTGGTGTCATTTTTCAGTGAAAAGCAAATCTTTCCAGACACAATAAATCCAACCATACAACATTAAGACGTTATGAACGTGATATTTCGTCGCACAGATATTATAAAAAGTACATGCGCTTTACCGGACATGAAAAACCGAATATCTTTTGAATATTTATATTTTTTTATTACAGAATTGTATGAAAAACCGAAAAAAAATACTAAATTTCCCCTAAAGTATGCCTACATGCCTAACAGGATGACACCAAACATGACACCAAAACAGCGCCGTACATGCGTATCAGCTCGTTCAGCATGAATATTGGATGAAAAATATCTATTTTGGCGTTAAAATATCGATAAGTAAATAATTTAATTAATTTCATAATATAAAATACTAAATTTGTAAGAAAAATTACATTTTTTAACGTTTTTCTCTGATGTTTATATTGTATGAAATGTTCTGTAAAAATTGACCAAAATATATTTTAAACCAAAATTATTTACGAACAAAGGGTGGTAATTCTGGACATTATCTTGTTTACTTGTAGAGTTGCAAAACCAACCCGACAAAATACACACTGTACAGTCATGCCAAAACTCGATCAAGCCTTAATCAAAAACCAAAACCAACATAGAGGATATTCAATGGTGTCTTCAGTAATAACAAATATATTTCACGATTGTGGCTAATATTTTGATATTTTTACACGAGTGGGCAGCACGATTGAAACATATCAAAATATTAGCCACGCGAGTGAAATAATAAATTATATTTGGTATTACTAAAGACACCATTATATGTTCTATTTATTGCATTTTTAAAGCATAAAACATGAAAAATGTAATGCATTATAAAAGGGTGGGAATCAGAAGCGTAATAATTAGCGCCATATTCTAATGACGTCACGCTTGACGACAAGGCTGCGCGCCATTTTGAATGGGATACTTAACACCATTCCGACGTTTTCTGCTATTTTCTGGTATGATTGCTTATACAAATGTTATTAATTGTATATTTATGTAAATACTTAAGTGTCTGCACCAATCATTTACCATAACAACCATTTATTCTACCGTCGCTTCATTTGAATCTGAACAAAAAAATTCGTTGCATTTGAATGCAGCGAATAGAAGATACCGTTATGATTGGTCAATACCAAAAAGTTGATATTTGTCACAATGTGAAAGATATCAGTTTTATAAAATTGATAGAATCCGTTGTTTCACTTGCAAAAATGTAATAAATACTCTTCATTCATGCTAAAACTCGATGACGTTGTCAAAACCAACCCGTTCTACTTCTCTGTTATCTCCCCTGTCAACTTTCTCTCTGTTTACCCTATCTTGACCTTAGATCGACTACTTGGCACGTGCAGTCATTCATGCGTACATACAAAGAAGTTCTTTTCTTTGACAGGTGTTACATGTTTATGTTTTCTTTAGACGCTCCCGGGGGGAATCCTGTGTAATATGTTGTTTTTGATAATGGTTAATCGGTGATATGTCAGCAATATCGCACAGGATTTAAATCGGTTGCTTTTATAATATAGCTTATGGAGGATCATGTTTTAAAAAAATACGTAGTATAATACACATAAATACTGATTATATATCGAATGAACACATATTTTACAAAACTCTTTTTATATCTAGTGTTAAAGCAAGCGTAGCATCTTTCATGTTGATGTGCTTACAGTCACAGTTTCAAAACATATTTTTTTGCCATATTTTGTTGTTATTACTTATATTGGACATGGATGTAGAAACTAATCCAGGTCCATCAGTAAATGAATTATCTCTATTTCATCTGAATGTTAGAAGTATAAGGAATAAAGTAGAATATATTGAAAATATTACAAATGAATTCAATATTTTATGTATGAATGAAACTCATTTGGATGAGTATGTACCTACTTCTGAACTAGTTCTACCGGGTTTTGTGGAACCATTTAGAAAAGACAGAAATTTCTCCGGTGGTGGTATTTTAGTATATTATTCTGTTTCCTTAAAATGTGTCCGGAGGAATGATCTCGAATTTCTGGATGGAGAAATAATTTGGATACAGGTAGAATTAGGTCACAATAGTGTATTAATATGTACCGTTTATAGACCAGAAAATTCACGTCACCCTTTTTGGGAGAATTTTAAGTATTAGAATGAAAAAGCTTTAGAAATTACTTCGAATGTTATTATTGTTGGTGATATAAATGTAGATATGCTAACGTTATCACGTAATCATATTTTACACCAAGTCATGTTGGAAATGGACTTAACTAACGTTATTAATGAGCCGACTAGGCGTGGAACAACCAGAAATAGTTTACTAGATCCTATTTTATTAACTGACCCTACCAAATGTACTGATTCGTATGTAATTCCGATTGATCGTAATATAAGCGATCATGATGCATGTATTGCATTTTTGTCTATACCTGTTAATCTCTCTTGTACCTACACTCGAGAAATTTGGGCCTATAAACATGCCGATTTTAATAGGTTAAATTTTTTAATAGAAACTTTTGAGTGGCCTACATTTTTTCAAAACTTTATTTCCGTTAATGTAGCATGTGTTGAATTTACTGATCAATTTTTGAAACTTGCTAAAGAATGTATACCCAAAAAAACAGTTTATATAAGACCTCGTGATAAATTATGGATGAATTCCCAATTAAGAAAAGCTTTTCAGTTACGAGACCGGTTACATAACGCCGTTAAACGTGTTAAGTCCATATCCAACTTAGAGAAATTTAAAAGACAAAGAAATAAGGTTAATAATATGAAAAAATATGCAAGAGAAATGTTTTATAATAGTGTTGGTGATATTATAGATAATCTTAATACCAGTAATCCTAAGTCATATTGGAGACTAGTGCGTAAATTATTAAAACAGTCGGGTTCTCAGGAGGTTATTCCACCTCTAGTTAATCCTTGCAATGGAAATATTGAATATGATGATGATAAGAAAGCAAATATTCTAAATAATTATTTTAGCTCTATCTCAAACATAGATGATATTGGCAAATCTTTACCCAGTTTTGATTCCAGAACTGATTCTGTACTTGATTCTATTGTGGTTGAAAGTGATGAAATATGTGATATTTTGAAAATTCTGAAATTAGGAAAAGCATCTGGTCATGATACTATAAGTCATCATATGCTAAAATTTACAGCGAATTCTATATGTAAGCCATTGTCAATTCTTTTTAATATGTCACTAAATTCTAAAATATTCCCTGAAATATGGAAACATGGTATTATTTTACCTCTGTTCAAAAAGGGTGATAGACACTTGGTGTCAAATTACCGACCAATTACTTTGTTGTCTTGTATAGGTAAGGTTTTTGAAAGGGTTGTATTTAAACACATCTATAATTTTTTCCTTGATCATTCTTTATTTTACGAAAAACAATCTGGTTTTATGATTCATCATTCCACTGTCCATCAGCTAATAGAAATTTACCATAATATATGTTGTTCATTAGAAGAAAAAAAACATACTTGTCTAATTTTTTGTGATATATCGAAGGCTTTTGACCGAGTTTGGCATAGGGGTCTTTTACATAAATTACATGCTTATGGTATTAGAGATGGTTTACTACATTGGTTTAAAAATTACATTTCAAACAGACAACAACAGGTTCTTGTTAAAGGTGTGTATTCTAATATAGGTTACACAAATGCTGGTGTACCACAAGGAAGTGTGTTAGGTCCTCTGTTATTTTTGGTTTATATTAATGATATTGTTGATAATTTAAATTGTATTTCACGCTTATTTGCTGATGATACCTCTTTGATGTATTCTTCGTCTTCTCATGCTGATATTGAAATGTGTGTAAACAGAGATTTGGAAAAACTTGACAAATGGTCACGGGACTGGCTTACTAAATTTAATCAACAGAAAACTGATGTGTTATTTATATCTAATTCGCGAAATATACTTCCTTTACAGATTTGTTTTGGTACTGAGACTCTGAATTGTGTTGAAAGTCATAAACATTTAGGCGTAATATTTAGTGCAGATGCAAAATGGTCTTTACATATTTCCGAAATTCAAAAAACATGCATGAAAAAGGTATCAGTACTACGAAAGTTTAAATTACTGTTGAGTAGGAAAACTTTGTTAAGAATATATAAAGTATTTGTGTTGCCTGTGTTGGAATATGCCTGTGAAGTTTGGGATGGTTGTTCTCTGGCAGATCTAACTAAACTTGAACAAGTTCAGCTTGAAGCAGCAAGAATTATTACTGGCCTACCCTCTTTTTCTAGTAAACAATCACTGTATCAAGAATCCCAACTTGAACCTCTATCTGA